GGGGAGGGAGAGAGAGGGAGAGAGAGGGAGGGAGAGGGAGGGAGAGGGAGGGAGGGAACAGTCGCCGTTACTAAGGCAAGTCCACTAGACCTTTATCATTTGAACAAAGAAGATGTTGATGGAGGAATAGCAAGGTATGGAGGTCACAGACCAAGAGGCTATTGCTACCTAGGCCTTTCCATATAAACTGCTTTTGCCATATGGCACTCCCTGAGCCATGCGTATTTATGTCACTACGTCATATGTACTCATGCCAACCTCTAGCATGGTCCAAACATCAACACCGCCCCTTCCTTTACTCCTCTTAGCACAGCTTTACATGCTGGGTCCATCCAAATGGCTTGCATCAAGCTACCATGAGGGACTGCACGTCTTGGAGACCCTATCCCAGCCCACAGTCTGGCCTGATGGTACAAAAATAAGATGTCATGGGCTCAGTCCTGTTCCCTCCTGCAGGATCCAGTTTCTTCTCACCATTGAGGGACATTCTCCCAATTTCTCACCACCTTCAAGCCAGGGCCGGAGTCCTGGTGGGGACTAGGACAATATTCCTGGAGGACAATTTGACAGTAGTGATCAGAAAAGTCCTTAGCATAGGCATTGTTCTTGTGGTTGTTGCTCAGTTGTGGTACAAGCATTCCATATATAGAAATATTCCCAGGAAATAAAAATAGAACGTGGACCAAGATTTAACCTACAGCGCTCACCAGAGCACTGATTACATCAGACCTAAGCAATAAATAAATGATAGCACATGTCTATAGTACAATAATATATGGCCATTAATAAAGTTTCATAACTCAGCGGGGTGTGGTGGCACATCCTAGACATTTGGAGGGTGCTGAAGCAGGAGGCAGGATCTCAACTATGAGGCCAGTCTGGCAACTGAGACAGACCCTAGCTCAACAATAATAAAGAGGGGCTGGGGGGATGGCTCAGTGGAATAAGCGCTTCCCTCGCAAGCACAAGGGCCTGAGTTCAATCCCCGGTTCCACCAAAAAAAAAAAAAAAAAAAAAACAATAATAAAGAAAAAAGGGCATGGAGAGATATATCCTGTCTTCTATCCCCATTACTACAAAAATTAATAAATCTTATTACTGTTGACATTGAACATTCTTTATGCTATATTGTGGTGTTATAAAACAGCATGTTAGGGCTGGCGAGATAGCTCAGGAGGCCAACCACCTGCTTAGGCAAGTGCAGGGACTGGGGTTCGATCCCCAGCACTGCATGCTGCACC